TTGGCCCCTAGCATCACCGATGAGTCCTAGAAGGATAGAACAGCTGTATGATGCAGCGAATTCGTTTTTGGCACATTATATATATTATCAAATTTTAAAGGTGGAATCACCTGTGTATGTGTTGCGTCCACCAGGACAGCCTCGGTTAAAGGAGAGCAGTTTACCACTGTGACATCCAACTACCCAGAAGTCAGCTGATTCAAGTACTCGCACAGGACATAAGAAATGTATTCTATGTCATCTATACATTATTTATCTAGACAGGTGAGCTTATTAGTAGGTAAATTAATGACATTAGCAGCTTGCGAACCGATATGTGCCATTGTATATAGTACAGTATTCTTACACATGTATATAAACTCATATATAACTGTAGACCTCAGAGTTCTTCAGGTTTTCTTTGTCCTTTTTAAACAAGTTGTACCCCATTTGTCTTTCCAATAGGTCTGGCATTTATATAAGTAAATTATTTAGCAATCTATACCATGTACCTACTATGTACTGATCAAATATTATGGTTTGGGGGGGCGGGGGGGGGGGGGGGGAGACACAAACAAACAAATTGATAATGTCTGCCTTGCCACGACAGAAGCACTCACCAGTCATTTGGACCCGGTCAGTTCAACTTCTGTTTTTCACACAATAGATTTTTGACGGTGTACTAAAAAAATATCAAAAAAGCTATGCATGGTAGCAATACCTGATTCACTAAAACATCACCTTCAACCTATGGTAGATCTGGTTCAGCTATAAGGAATATGAGATAAAGGCCATTCTTACTTTCAAGTGTAGAGGTTTAACCCGGAAGTCGCTCACTAGATCAGCAAAGTTGAGCGTGATCATGATCACAGGGACCTGAGCATTTATTACAGCTATATTTGATCATATCATATATATGATCATTGTGGATGTAATTTTTACCGAAAGTCAATCTAAACCCCTAAAACATGTGAAATTACTCTGAACGCCTTAGTCTAGGTCCAAATATAGCTTTACAAATTCTCAGGTCCCTGTGATCATGATTAGTGGCTGGACGAGTGCACGTTACAGATACACCTGTAAGCTTATAATCACCTGCCACACGCCATTAATTATTTACCGATATCATAACAAATCATAACGAACTTAACACCAGTCCAACCACTCTAGTGACGTTCAGTGCTGGGCTTCAGTGACAGGACTCGCATCGTGAACATATGGCTGAGTATATGAAATGTTGGAAGAAAATTCATCAGAATTATTCTTGTACAAATATGACTTGATTTGGAAGTCTTGAAATGAAATGTTAACTGTTTTGGACGTAACTGTGGCTGGAAATGATGTAAATGCAGATTTGACTGTATGCAAAGAATCATTTGGGGGAAGTGTGTTCCGATAACCAAGAACTACAGCAAATATTGACTAATTATAATATTTGTTAAACGTGGTTCAATATACCTGGGATTTCTTTGTTAAATGTGCTTATGAATTCTTTTGTGTACAGTTGTTACAAAATTTTGGTTATTCACTCCTGAAGTGGAACCTACCAAAAATCAAGGCCAAAGTGACTTGGCAACCGTCATCAGAAAGAGGTACTTATTGTATAGAGCAATAAACTATTGTGACAGCAAGGATAATGCTGTGACATTGTGGTAAGTACGCGGAGTAGACGATCTACTGGATATTCCATATGGTCGACTGGTCACATGGATATGTGAGTGTGATTAAAAACTGCTTCCACCGATATTAACGAATTGAACATTTCCACAGCCACTTTTGAAACAAAATTTGGAACAATCACCAGGAAAGTGACAATATTTGATATTCAGGTGGCAGAACATCTGCTAAACATGCAAATTTTCAAAGATCAATTTATGAAGATTCGCAACACTTATTCGGTTTGAAAAAATTCATAGCACTCTATGAACTTAATAACATGAACTGCTTGCATGTGCTTCACACTATTTTATCGTGAGGAGTTTAATTTGCAGAAGAAGCCATACTAAAAAGACTTGCTTCACAAGAGACTAAACATCACAGGTTTTTTCCAAAGGATTTCGGGTAACAATGGCTACAACAATGAAAGCCCGTCCCCTTGGCAACAGTTCATGTCCCTATCACAGTGACAAAGTGGTTATCTACATCTGTGAGGATTGTCCTGAGGGCACACTCGCATGTCCGGAATGTGTGACTTCCCGTCATCGCACACACCGACTGGAAAAACTTACCAACATCATTCCATGGAAAAAGGAACAGGTTCTTCGATACATTGATGCTACAGAAACTCACCACTCACCCTCCATCCAAAAAGACATAGCAACACTAGACATTAAGCTATTGGAAAATAAAACAACTTTCCAAGACCTCATTCTAGATATGAAAACGAATGCAGATCACTGGAAGTCAAGTATTGATAGATATGTTGAGACGAACGTGCGCACCTTTTTAGACATTGAGAAGGAAAATACAGAAATTCTGTTGAAACATAAACGTAAACTTCTAAACGATAGCTCTGACATCAAGGAAATGCTGGTTAATCGTCGAAACACACTGCAGGGTGGGAACCCTGTCCAAATATTTGACATCAAGATCGACCATCATGTTCAATCAACATTCCCAAGGACAAAAACTGCTAAATTCAAACGAAGAGAATTTTCCCAGGAAAGTCTGCCTCACGTGTTTGGATTGGTTGAGATTGATAATGTGATCCCATATGAGAAACCTGCAACGCCACCAAGAGAAAATGTGGGTTTAACATTTCTTAAACCTCAACAAAATCCTAGACTTGCACGAAGAAATTCAACAGGACGAATAAAGGAAATATCTGTGACAAAAAAATTGGAGCAAAAGCCATCATTCTTGAAAGTGGAACAGAATTCAAAACGTGTGCGGCGTAATTCTGTGACTGAACAGCTGATTAGACCTTCGAAAAAAAATGAGCTTAAACCTACAACAAAGAAAATATCAAACACGCGTCGCCATTCCACCTCAACTAGAATCAGCATTGACAATACAGTTCACACAAAGCAATCTTCAAATCCCAGTGACACTGAAGAAGGCCAAGGTCAATGCCAAGGTAGGGTTAGAGATCAAGGTAATTTTGAAAGCCAAAGTCAAAAAGGTGGCTACACGCTTGTTTCCCCTGCCCAGCTGGTGATGTTTGAGTCACCTAATGGGTCAGTGGATTTCATCAGCCCTACTAAAGATGATCAGGCCTGGGTATGCAAGTACAACGACACTTCAGTAAGACTGCTTGACCTCATGGGTGACATCCAGGAAGAAGTGGTCAGTCCTTCAGGTATCACTGGGGTCAGTGTTGCTCCAGACACTAGTAATTTCTGGCTTAGCTGTCTAGATCGTGGCATCCGAGAAATAGTCCCCCAGAAGCCCAAAACACCTCCAACAAAAAGTAATTCAGATGGCAACATCAACGTTATTTCACATCGTCCAAACAAGATGCATCGTCAGAAGAGCGTTGATTGCAGTATGAAAGAGATGTCACAAAATTCTAAAAGGATTCAACACCAGATGAGTGAGGACTTTTGTAAAAGTCATGAATCAAATGCAAGTCAGAGGAAGAGCAGCTTTGACAGTAGCATCAGTGAGCATGCCTTACAGAAACACAAGTTTGGTTTGAATGAGCTGAGGCCAAATTGTTCAAAAAGAAGGAAATCCATCACCAAGTCACTCAATGAGGTGGAAGCTAGGTTAGCAGGATTTGCAAAATGTACGGAATCAAATCCACACAGCGATGAATATCCACACTTCAGCAATAAGCCCCCTGTACTGCCCAGCATCAATATCATACCACCAGATTCAAATTCGAGTATTGTTTGTATTTTTGACAACAGTGAAGAAGCTCTACCACGGAATCCCCCACGCAAGAAGTCTCTGGAATCGTCAGCACAGCCTACCATTGTACACCACAGGCAAAACCAAGAAAGCCCACAATGCTCTCTTGAACAGCAGACTGGGGGTAAACTGAGGGAGGTAAATGGAAGAGCTGTTGTTAGGTTCTACGTTGACGACACTCCATGGAGTCTGTGTGTTACAAAAGATAACAACATCCTCATCGGAACGGCCAATACCATTATCATTTACACCACATGGGGGCAGGTCCTACATCAAGTTAACAAAGAGAGTTGGTTTACCTACACATCACCGAGAGTTACCTCCCTTCAACAGATGGTCCAATGTCCAGTCAGCTGTAACATCGCAGTGATAGGACAGAGTCACCAAGGAACACATCATGTCTTCATAATGGACTCCGCACTTAACCTCCTATCGTCTTATACAGGAGAGAAAGATTCTAGTGACATGATGCCGGCTATTTCCACATCTCCATTCAGCGCGGCCGCCTTGTGTTACGACAGTGTAGGACACCTGGTGGTGGCTGATAGTAACAATAGATCGATAGTGCTGATCAGCGGAACTGGTCTTTACCTGAAGACTCTACACCAGGACACGTGGGCGACACAGGCCGTAGGCATCCAGGAGGACAACACCCTGTGGGCCGCCTTCAAGCTCTATAGTAACGTGGAGGTTAAGTTGTTTAAATACACCGAGTAGAAACCAACATTTACATCATCAGTAGAAATATTTGTGTGTCAAAGTGTCAATATTAACCAGGCTCTGCTACTGTATACATTGCACAATGTAAGATATTTGCAACAAATCTTGATTATGTAATATAAAGAATCTTACATTTAACTTATCACACTTATGAACTGTAGCTGTCCAGAAGCTCTGTGAAATCAAACATTCTTCAAAATTGTTCATAAAACTCATATGAATTAAACTAATAAAAGATTTTCTGTTTTTTCTTAATCCAATCAAAGATGACAGATGTATCGTTTCACTATTGTAGCGTACACATCAATAGGTAAATCGTAACCTATTCCAGTTGTGGTGTGGCATATAAAATGTGTCATGGCTGTTTGAGACATTGATTCAGCTCATTTTTATGTAGGTTGCTTGGGTGTGTCAAAAAAATAAAAAGAAGATAAAGAATTATTATCTGATATATTTTTTTATTTAAGTATTAAAAGGTTTGAACTTCAATAGTGTAAAATCTAAACAAGTGAGTTAAATGAATCAACAACCTTTATACACTATATATATAGAGTTTTCTATAAAAGACAGACAAACATTTATATGCACTACAGACATGAATGTGCCATATAGGTGTATATCTGTGTCTCGGTCAGAGGCTGTATTGATGTACTCATCTAACAGTTCACTGCCTGAATTTATTGCCACCTATAACACATCCTCTACCGATTCATGATACAAATTTTATCACAAATATTAAAACTGCTTAATCATTCACCAGTATTCTAGAAAATACACTGTCTTCTGGAAAATGCACTATCACCTATGAAACCTTATAATATAAAGCCCCTTTTTGTTTCACTTGCCATTAAGGTCCTCTTTTTTATCAATTTTTCTCGCGATATGCATCCCTCAATATATTGCCAAATCCCTTTATAATGCTTAACTCATTCACCCCGGAAATTTTATAATGAACTATCTCTCACGATATGCATCCCTCAATATATTGCCAAATCCCTTTATAATGCTTAACTCATTCACCCCGGAATTTTTATAATTAACTATTCCAACCTTTAAATTGGATGAGTTTAAATGCATCTTCAGGGGTGAATGAGTTAATTCCTATAGACAAAATAGTGGCAGTGTAACAAGATATTAATGTATGACTAACAATGATGTCAGAAAATTACAAAAATAAAATAAAAAAATACATGACTACTGTGACTTTAGCTGTATGAGAATTAATTCAAGTTCATTATCAACAAAATATTTCCTATAAATATAACTTTAATCAGTTGCTTCAGGACTGATAATCGTAAAATACACTTTAAGGAGAAAAAGTCTTTCTTCTGTAAAATCTCACAATGTTGTAAATTATAATTAAGAAATAAAGTGCTTCTCATATTTAAATCAAAGTTTCTAAACCAAGCAGCTTAGCTAAAAACCTTATTTCTCAAAATCATGCATGCTTAACTATGGGAAACAATTCAATAAAACTCTAACATTTTTGTTTAGATAAATGAAGATGGCTCCCATCTAAAACTGAATTAACAGTAACATCAATCTCATCCAGATTGCAACGGTTTTAAGACAGCCTTGATTATCTAGAAGTTTAGCTATATGTCAACTGATCGGTTTCAACATGATATAATGCAAAGAAATATTTTAACTCGTTTACCCCTGAAATTTCATAATGAACTATTCCAACATTTGAATGGGAAGAGTTCAAATGTGTCTTCCGGGGTGAATGAGTTAACTTGCAAAAAACCAATATAAAACGGAGAAAAAAGTTATTTGGGGATAATTGAAGTTCATCTTGTTTACAAATTATTTATATGGTTCTAGAAACAGAGGACAAAGTAAAGGTAAAGGCTTGACTATTTTTTGCGTTTATCCCTCTGTCTGGTCTTCTTTTCCATTTTCTTAATCGTGTCGGAGAGGCCATCTTTCTCCTGCTGTATACGAAATGCTATATCTTCCAACACCTTCTGATGGTTCGCCTATTGAAAAATTTCATAAATTTAAGTTTTGCATAGTATATACATTATATATTATACATATAAAATACATTGTGCCAACTTCGTTCATATCTTAAGTACTTATTTACATAAATTTATTATTTTTATTAACTACAAAGCTACAATATATGAAAACACGAAATTTTCCAACGGTTAAGGATAGGCTAAAATTAAAGTTGCCTATGATGAAATATAACTTGACTCTCCATGTATGTGATAGAAATAATGTTGACTATAACAAAACTGAAGTTGAATATATATTTTTCAGGCATGAAAACACTGCAAATTGTCAATCATTGATTTATAATATAATTTGAAATATTCTTTATTTGAAAAATATTTACAGAAAGTCATTTTCAAAACAATTATCTTAACATCGTCAGACTGTCAAATCAGTTTCTTGTTTTACTGTCATGACCTATGAACTACAGACACACTCATCATTTTGGAGTTTGAGGAGGAATTTAGTGGACAGGAGGTATAATGACACTCACCAGTTGTTCACGGGTCTGTTCCTCCTGTTGAACCTTCTCCTCCGTCCTCTGACGTGCCTTCTCTTGCTTAGCCTAGAGGAGAAAATTTGATAAAATTACCTCCCTTGGGAGGGTCTATGTCCTGCTATAGGTAATTTCACCCCCTAATGTTAAGATAATTTGACCTAATGTTACCGTAAGATAATTTGACAGAAAACGATAATTTGACCTAATAATACCATAAGATGATTTGACCTAATGTTACCGTAAGATAATTTGACAGAAAACGATAATTTGACAGAAAACAGTGTAAGTCCACAAAACAGTTAATGAAATACTGTCACAGCTGTATGTACCAGCACACGAATAAGCAGTATTATTAATTGAAGGAACTACACATACAAACCATTAATTGAAAAAAAGCCAAGTCATACATAAGAATGTGAAGTGTTCCAAGCAGTTCATAGTTCCATATATCTTGAAAAACTTTGGTATAAACAATGAACAAAAGGTCATGATTCGATAGTGGGGTACACATTCAAGTTTCAGTATGGGAAATCCTCTATCCTAAGACATACCTTCAAATTTGGCAATCATATGTAACACAATACATGAGATACATGTATGCCCAGGACAAAGTGAAACCAGATGAACAAAGGGCCATAACTCTATTTATAATGTAGCAAGAGATCCGTTAAAGGAGCAAAACAGAAATTCCTTCTAGCATGCTGCATGAAGCTAGAAGGCCACCAAAATCATGTGATTTTAAAACCTGCAACACATTTATTACTTTCTAAACAATCGTTACATGAGTAAAAACTTTTTAGTTCAGGCAAACACAAATACATTCAGATTTTTTTCTCTGTGCTTTAACATAATGTTTGCTTGTTTAAAACTAAAAAATGTCTGCAAGACATGAATGCCCCCTTTGGCCCTGTGGTTGACCTAAACATATCAACAATGACCTTGGGACCCAGAAATACAACTCATCCAAGATACCATAGTGACATGACAGGAGGGACATGGGTAGCACTATATCCCCTTCTTCTACTTCTACTCAGTCTAATATCTAATATCAATATTTTGCATGCTTTGGACCCAACTTTCAAAACTGATTCTGACCTCTACAGAACCTGATCTGTGACCTAGCAAACTTGACCTCTGACCTGTCTATGCTGCGTTTCCTCCAGACTGTAGTATCGGGAGCAGGTTTTGCTGTTACGGTTGTGGCCTTTTTCTCCACAGTTCCCACACGTAATGTTACAGGACGACGAAGATTGAGTAGATGAGATGGATGATGAAATTTGTGTTGACTTGTAATCTTGGGAGTCATTCTGTGTTGAGGTGTCATCATCCCAGGCACTCCGGGACGACGTCTGGATTGATGAAAATGACGAGGATATTTGTGACAACTTGTGGTCTTGAAATCCTGTCAATCTGTCTGTCTGGTTGCGAGATGATGTTGATGTAGATGATGGATTAGAGTACATACTTCCGAAACCTGAACTGCCAGACTTCACTTGTGAGTATCTTGGTATACGATTTGGTGAAGACGGGATGAGGTTTGGTTGACGGCGAGGTGGAGAACTGGTGATGTAACCGTCCTCATCAAGGCTGATGTACTGGGCTGGAACAAGGATTTATTATATTTTTCCAAGTGAAGTGTCAGGAATTATCTATTTAGTAAAAGTTTATTTCTTCACTGCAGCAAAGACTGTAGAGTCATGACAAAGACTTGTAATGGGACAAGACAGACATAGGTTAAAATACTAGTGTATGCCTCGCCCTTATAGAATTGTGGGGGCATAACGATGGCTTCTCAAAAACCTGAACTGTAACAAGTATATCGCTCAACATATAATACTGCAACTATTTCCAAATATTGGCTCTGTCTCTCAGCAACATCTGTCCCTCATTAAGTCCCTTCATTCTGCCCTCATAAGTTTGGGTGGATTTTAAGCAATAACCTCAATTTCCCCCATTGGGCCCCATCAATAATGGCCTTATTGCCTAACCCTGAATAGTCTTGACACTGTGTAGCCATATGTGGATTCATATGCAATTGGCCCAAAGGTGAGTGTGACATCAATTGATAGATTGAATAATTGACTGGTGGCATACTCGAGAGCGCCCAAAATACCTATTCAAATTTAAACAGTCACAATGATAACAAACGACTTACATTCATCGTTCCATGATGAGGCTGTTCTGATATGAGGATGTTGCCTTGGCGATGAGACTGTATGTGGGATGTCTGGGTTACCTGCCTTTGGTCTGGATCCAGAGGGGTTACCGGTATTCAGTCCTCCGCTCTGATTGATCTTATAGCGCTCATTCTGTTCACTCCTGATGGCTTGTAGCTGAAATATATTGTTAAACCTGGCTTAACAGCTTCCTGAGGACAGTAAAGCCCATCTGTAGAGCAGGCCCCAGTGTAAAAGTCCACAAGTCTGATTGCAGAGGCAAGATTTCAAGTTAGGGCTAGTGAAAATTTTCAGAGTTTCGATCATGTCAAATTTTTGAAAAATCTGCTTGCAGGAGAATACTATACAGTGAAATTCCACCTCCTTAACTCACATTACTCGAATACCGACGTTCATCAAAAGTTTGACAAGTCCTGACCGTGTTCTTAAATATTCTTTGTGAAGTAGCTCCAGATATTCATGTATAATTAAAATTGTAAGATATTAATGACATACAAGAAGCTTTCTAACGCAGTGGAGCCTTCAAATAATGACATCAAGGATGCATGGATTGGTTGTTTAGATACGGAAATATCAAAATACAGCCTGATTTAAAATACATAAATATGTTTTATGGAAGCCATAGAATAGTATCAGATATTAAAAGATGTCTTTATATGAAGGTATAATATATACCAGCAAAATGTTGGAAATTATCGATAAGATAAAAACTTAGATCTTCACTGCAACAAGTACAGATATCGGTATATATAGGGTATTTTATATTTCTCATGTATGGCAGAATAAAAAAATATTTCACATTGTGCTTTGCACTTATGAAAATATCGGTATTCTACCCTTCTCGTGAAATACATATGGTATTCAATGGGAAAAATAAAATATCCTCTTTTTATTTCTGCTAACCTGTTCAGCAGTAGCCTTTTTAGCCTGTTTCTCCATAGCAAACAATTTCTTATGCCACACCCTTTCCACAGCAGACGAACTGATAGCTCCTCCTCCCTGAGCTGGAGAAGCTCCGCCCACAATAGTGGAGGCGACACCCCTTACTGGACTGCCTCCAGACAGGTGTCTGCCATCCCTCCTAGCATGCTTTGGGCTATACAGGCCTGGGCTAGAGTCTGCATGTCTCTTCTGTACTGTTCTAGGGAGGACTGAAATAAACAAGGCAATGAATTCTTGTCAGCAATGAAAGTCTGGATAAACTTAAGAATGAAACAATTAACAAAGAGCCATAACCATGTACAGTGTTGGGAAGGGTATGCAATGCTCTGCTCTCCCAGGAGGTACTGGCATACACAATTTTGACAATTGTAGGTGACAAGGTATATGAGAAATGCCCTGGACATTGTGACACACAGATAGACAGACTGACAAATGGACATAGTGTTATATCTTATATATTCCCTTTTGGTAGTGCCTTCAATGTAATGGCAAACCCTTTATGGCAAAGTTTTGCTTGATAAATGTGGGGAATAATGTATTCAAGTTCTGTATTTATGACATCATAAAGAAATAACAGAATAATTCTGTCTTGCTTGCTGCAATATTATAAATAAGATTATTAAAAATGTTAACATTTACCTTAACAAATTTATCAAAATGAAGTTATATTCAAATAGAATACCTGGCATGGGCTGTTTTTCTGTTTCTGACAACTGCCTAGCAAGTGCTTCATCTTCGTCTAACATTGCCTCCCCTTGCCTGACTTTGTTCTCCTCCTCTTCCTGTAGTCTCCTAGCGAGAAGCCTATCCTGTAAATTGGAGTTGTCTGCCCCTGTTGCAATGGTAAAAGGTACTTTTCTTGGCAATGTCTTCCCTTTTGGAACCTGACCAGACTCCATCTCTTGAAGTTGTTGAGCATAAAGTCTGTCCCTTTCTTCCAAATCCTTTGATACCCCTAACAATTGTTCATGACTGGCATTTTTATCTTCATTTCCAAAGTTACTTGTAGATCCTTTTCTCTGGCTTTCATCTTGGAGGGATGGTTTCCCAGCAGAGTGATCTCCCATTAGTAGTTCCTGTTGTAACTGTTGAGCTATAACAGCATCATTGGTCGTATCAATCACATCCACATTTTTGGCACTGAATTTTTTCTCCTTTGATATCTTCTGTTGTTCATTTCTCAGATTTGAATCCACTGGACCTGAATGACGTGTTTGGCGTTTATCTGGCTTTTTTTTCTGTGACATTGTCATTTCATACTCTTTATCAAACAATTCCTGGAGCTTGCGAGCTACCTCTGCATCATCAACACCAGCTTCAATGATGGGCCTGTCCTCTTGACTGTAAATTGGTGACGTGTTCTCATTTGAATGGAAACTTAAGTGTGTGTAATCCTCATCTTGAATTTGTTGCACTGTTCGTGTCCGATTTAAAATTTGTTCAGATGCTCGATCAGTAAATTCACAACTAGGACCAGCTGTTGCACTGCAAATAAATCTCCGACGAGATTGGTTGAAACACTCATCCATTTTTTCTTGTTTTATCAAGATTGTCTCCCTTCGTTCCGTAGGACTGAATGCTCTGATTTGATGTGTATCCTCTTGAAATTCTGCTGGCAAATTGTTGAGACCCACGCTATCACTCCTTCCAGCAGAAGTAGGCCCTGGAAGAATTGGATAAGTTTGGAGGGACCTTTTGAGGAGGAGAGTCCATCTTTGAGGTACTGAGAGGTAAAGAGACATTTTGTGGTGACTTTTGGTTAAATGACGAAACTGGTCTGTGTATGGATGATGAAGAACCTATGTTTATTGGGGAAGTATGTGGCGACAAAGGAGGCAGAACTGGAGCCTCAAAGTCTTCAGAGTCGGGAGGAGGGGATGGACTTTCTCTACAAGGAGGAGAAAGACTAGAGAGGGAAGAAGGACTTAGTGGAAGGGAAAGACTCCTCTGTGGTTGGGAACAGCCTATATGTGGAGTTAACAAACCTTTCACAGGAGAAGAAAAATTCCTAAGGGCAGGGATTGGACTTCGTGTTGTAGAGGACAAACTTCTTAGAGAAGGTGACAGATTTTTTGGTGGAGGTGATGGACTTTTTGGTGAGGATTCAGAAGATCTATTTCTTTGAGAAAAAGCTCTTTGGGTGGGGGATATTGGCAACATAGAAAATCTAGTTTCTGGAAGGGGTGTTCTTTTAGAGGTGGGGGATGTCAAGGAACAATTGGAGGTTGCAAGATTTACACTGACTGAAAGGGAAGGAGACAAAGGAGGTAGAACAGAAATATCACGAAGTAGGTCCAGGGAATCCTCTTCATCTATCCCATCCTTTATTCTCTCATCTGTCCCTTCATCTTGCCAACCTCTGTGATCAATCAGTAATGCAGGATGGACCTTTCTGGTCTTCAGATTACACAGAATGGACTCCGCCATACTGTTGTTCTCACAATGACTAGACTTCGACTTATTGCAGTTCACCATGACGGACTTGGACGGAACAAGTTTCTGATGTGACGACTCCTTGTCCTTCTCACAATCTGTTTGACTTGGATATTTCACATCGACACTTGATGATGGACGTTTCAGCAAAGAATGAACCCCTTCACCTGGTGAATTTCTCTTTGAGACTTTACACATGGAACCAGAATTTCCAGAATATCCTACACTTTGTGAATCCTTTGCCACCACCTTACACATGGACCCAGGTGAGAAATGTAGCTTAGAGGCAGTCTTATAGAAACTCAGGCCTGCTTCACAGCTTTTCTCAGGAGATGGTGGGATAACATCTATGTCATCGTCTTGAATTTCATTTTTGTTTTTTTGAGCTTCCCGACTGTCCTCATCTTCTTGGCTGTCCTGAGCTAGGATGTTGTCTGAGATCTCTGAGAGGTTCTCGTCAACAGTGTTTGTTATCTTAGTGAATGGCGAATAATGAAGTTTTACTCGGCCACACAACTCTGGACTAGATTTGTCTGTATGAATTTCACAAATGTTATTGGCGACTTCTCCTATGAGAGTAGCAGTTCTGTCTTTTGTTTCAGTCTGTATGGAATCCTTGGTATTCTCCAAACTACACATGACATTCTTGTATTCATTACTGTCATCACAACTCAGTTCTTTATTGTCCATCTCATCTCGCTGACACAGGTCATTCACAGTAACAATATCATCAGCTAGAGTCTGACTCTCATCAAGTGATATTTGTCTTTCCTTTGTCAGCTGGGTCTCACTGTTATCAAGTGACATTTGTCTTTCCTTTGTCAGAGTCGGACTATTGTTATCAACCGTTTGTTTTCCACTTGTTTGCATCCGACTTTGTGACAGATGAGTATTACACCTTGTTTCACCTACACTTTCAACATTGGTAATTTCCTTCACAGACCGTTTTGTTCCGTCTGACGGCCTGTCATTTTGCATGGCACTCCTATTATCCATTGATAAGGTTTTGCCACCAGAATTATCACATGCCACTGACAATGTGGCATCATTTGATGCCACAAGCGATTCCATGAGAGCGTCTACAATGGCCGACATTGAGAGAGTCTTCACATCTCTGTGTTCTGTGTCTGTTACTGAATGATCACACACATCATCACTTCCCGTTGAACCTCTGCTATCCCTATCCTTCTCACTGGTATCCCTCAATACATTGGTAAAACCATCCACTTCATCACCGCCATCATCGTCATAACTCTCCAAAGACTTTGATGGAGATCCTTCCTCACATGAGGTTATTCTATATCTGTTGTTCTCCGAGGAGAAAATCCTATCGCCATTTCCACACTTTTCTACACCATCTAGAATAACACCTGTGCTGTCTATGTGACCGAGCTTTCCCGTAAGGTTGTCCGGTCCAAATGACCCATTTTCCATGTTTGAATCGTGTTCGTCCACTTGGAAATCTTGAAAATGTGTGTCCTCCTGAGAATCCTGAGAATCAATAAGTAAGATAGGACTTTGGATACTTCCACTGCAGACTGGACTGATACTTGTCTGGTTCTCGGCCAAATCCTCGTTTTCTGTGGATTTCTTATAATGTAATTCCTGAGGGACATTAAAGCCAAGCTGTTGTGAGTCAATCAGGATGACTGGATCCTCAGGCAGGTGTGGTGGTCCAGCTGTCTGGGAAGTTCTCATGGAGTCCTCATATTCTTGTTTGCTAAGCAGTAAAATTCTTTGTAGTTCCTCATCCTGGCTATCACTTCCCATTAACACTCCATGGTGATTTTCAATTGCATCCTTATTTGTCCTTGACCTTTCAACTTCACTACCATTTTCCACTTTGTCCTGTCTTTGAGACAATGACCTTGCTGTGTCATGACCTTGACCTTTACTCAGTAATCTTTGCTGTTTTGCTTGAGTATCTACAGTAATCTCTGATAAATGGTGATGTAACTTTGATCTTTCAACATCGCTTCGACCTGGATTTTTCCTATTATTTTCTTCAGAGTTTACACAACTGACCCTGGAAGACTGGCTTTGGTACTGTTTGTTGCAATCCTGGCTATGTTTAGCCTTCTGTAGCTCTGCCTCCTCCAGACTTTTCTTAATTGTCAGTCGTAACAGCTCCTCTTCATCCATACCCTCAATATTTAAAGCATCACTTTGCTCTAGGCGATCCGAGTCATTTGACTTTTGACTCAGAATGTCACGATTTCTATGTCCAACTTCCTGATTTAAAGCGTTGTCATGGTCATTCTCAACATCATTGTAGCCAAGGTGCTGACCTCTGCCAGGAAATGTTTTCATAAGTTGACCTGGATATTCTGTACTTGAACTTTTGCCCTTTTTGGTTGACCCTTGACCTCTTTGGTGGTCGAGTGTTGCCCTGGTGCTGCAATTTGGTATGTCCTCACCATCTGACTCATCACTGTGTCTGCTCAAACCTGCTTCCTGCGTACTGCGGGCTATCGCCTGAAAGAGATAGTGATGCATTAGTAACTCTTCTATCTTTTTCATGCCCCTACAACATAGTAGAAGGGGCATTTAGTGTTCGCTTTTTAAGTCATCGGTCTGTATGACATCTTGGTTAAACTTTGCATTTAGCTCCATCCCTCTAATTTTACCAGTCTAACAGTCATTGAACTTCACTTGTTGATACATCTTGAGGTTAATGACACCAATATATCATATGTAGGTCTCTGTGACCTATATTTTATACTTCACTGAATTTTTAATATTTTGCATTTATCTTCCACGGTCAGATGTTGTGTTTAGCTCCATTTCTATTAAAGCAGAGATTCCAGAGTTCCATTGGACATGTGTTATTCACATGGTACAAACTGCCTGCTGTTTTTACTGTTACCCACCTGCTGTATCATGAAGTTCTCTGTCTGAGAGTCGGAGGCAAACACAGCCTGGTCTGTACCAGCCATTTCATCCTCATCTGTGAACAAAAATACATACAACAGGTTACTATCTACACTAAAACCTCAGCAGTCAGGATAATACACAAGCGTAACTGATGAGTTCCATCCAAAAAAGAGTTCTAGTTACTGGGGTCATAAAACATATTGTATTATCACAGCATAAAATACAGGACCTTGAATTGTCTGACCTGAAATCTGGCTGTATGAACCAGGTAATAAATCTTCACTTCACCTGTCAGGTGGTCCTGTTCTTTTGGAATGTTTTGAGCCTTTCCCTTTCCACGTAGTCCCCTGCCTTTTCCCTTTCCTCTTGTCTTTCTTTCCTCCATCTCCTTATCAAATACAGCTTGACCCTGGGTTGGTACACCTCTCCTGACGGCCCGCCCTGCTGTTCTGACACCCCTTCCTGCCCCCCTCCCTGGGTCTCCTATTCCGTAGGTGCGGAGGTCTGCCATTCTACCTAGAAGTCAATAACAGTTATACTTATTTAACTTTAAGTTACCTTTTATATACTACTGTAACATTTACACCTTTATGAAAGTTCAGAAGTTTCCACCTCAACACATAATCATTTTATTGATCATATTCACAGTAATGACCAGGTTTTTTTTACAGATTTTCTCTTTAGGGTGTATATGTAACCTGACTGTTATGCATTTTCTTTCCAAAAGAGTTCTGCACCAAAGCCTGTTAAATAATTTTCATGAATAATAATTTGATAAGTTGATATTAAAAGGATGCAATAATTCCACAATAAAGATTTTACTGAATTACAAGTAGTTATAACATATACGGTAACTTATACTGTAAAGTGGGTTATTTCTGTGGGGTAGGGGGGATATTTTTGTGATTTGTCATATCTACATTTAGATCACAAAAATTTAAATAGCTAAAGATTAACATCAGCTAAATAAAACGTATCACAAATTTTTATCTTTGTCAAAGTTGCTTTTTCTGTCTGACTGATGCAAAAATCATTTTGTAATCCTATTCCCTAAAAGAATCTTCATGTTCACAAAATTTAACACCAGGATGACCTGCCTTGCTGAGGAAATCTCCCAGGGTTCCCCGACTCATCCACTTCCTGTTTAATTCTCTGAGTCTCGACATCGTTCTCTGTTCTCACCACATACACACTGGCCATCACCTACCACAAAATATAAACTGATGTAGCTGATGATTTTTATAAGTGATCTTGTCCTTGACCTTAATACCCTGAAACACAAACTCATCACAGGTGTTCTCATACTTGACCTTCAAAAGGAGTTTGATCAAAATCTGTAAAAAAAAACATAAGTTTCTAGACTTAATTTGGGATGGGATAGAAAAGACATGGGTAACTCAAACTTCCCTCCCACATAAGATGGTTGGGGCATAAATATCTGCATGAACACGATGAAATTAAAGACAAAATATCAATATTACAAACGTAGCAGGTGTAGGCTTTAAACATTCTTCTTCATGTACATTAAATATAAACAACAACTGCAAGTGATTTCAGAAGTAAGATATTAACAATTGTCTCAAAATGATTTTTCTTTTGAGATTATATATCATTATTTTCAATTGTAGTTCTTTTGAGAGAAATTACACACCATGAAAAAGTTATAACATAATTCCTGTGAGTAAAATTACTTACCTGTAATCGTAGTTGCCAGTAGGACATGATGTCATAATGTAACATATTGTGTAAGCAGGAGTGTAGCTTGTTCTCTACGCCATCTGAAACATACAACCGTATTTCTGTAAAAGTGAAAATTATAGCAGTGTTGAACTGCTCATGGTTTTGGCATAGAGTAAATTAAAGGGGATATTTAGTCAAATGACAACCTGAAAATCGAGTTGATACTGAAAATTTATATCTTTAAACAAAAGTTTACGTAGTTGATAATGACATGACCTGAAGCCAACGTCCAGTGTGGTCAGTTTCATCTTTTGGGAAAGCCGGTGATAAAAATAGCTACGACCGAAATAGCGAAATATCCGGGCCTTTCAGTGAGAGGTTAACATGTACAGCACTACGCTGTCGACCGACAACGACAGTGTCAGTTATAAGTCTGAGTTCACACATAACACAATCTTGAATTTGCACAATATATCGCATGTAAGAATTATAAGTATCATATTACATACCTGGTATCAGATATTTCTGTTCACATTTGGATTTGAATAAAAACGAACAGGTTCAATTAGATGCACTGAGAGGGTGCCGCAGGGAGAATTTCAAACCACAGAATGTACAATATCAATAGGTTTAAATGTAAAATAGATCATTCATTTATAACGATGTTTTAGATGCTGAGCTCAAGGAAAAGTTCCCTACAGCTGACGCTTGTAAGGCAACCTAATCAATGCACATCTTTTACACTATTTCCCCTTTATTCTAACACCAACCCAGGTTCTTTGACTCCCGCCAAGGGTTCTCCTATCTTGAACGGGGATTGTCAACGGTACCAGTTTGTAATAGGGACGTGGAAGAGTGATAAAGATAGTGCTGTCGCTGGGGCTCAAACCCGCGACCCCTGGTTCTCCAGCCCGATGCTCTACCGCTGAGCTAAAGGGAAATTCCCTACAGCTGACGCTATTAAGGCAACCTAATCAATGCACATCTTTTACACACACATATACTGATATTAGAAATGATAAAACAGATGTAGATTCATTTATAAAACTCTGCAACACATACATGTATAAGAAAGTAAGTAGCACTACCTGCCATGTGGTTGAGATCACCGAACACTTCCTCCAGGCACTTGTTCAGGGTCGTCTGTCGCCTCTGTAGCAAAATCAAAATTTCATTTGCAGGCATCTTGTAATATTACCCAGTTGCCAAAGCATATAAATAGTTTCCTCATATAATGTAAACAAGTGCCCTGTGTATCCATAGCCTGTTGTCCATTAATAGAGCTGATAGAAACTGTTTTGTGCAATTAAGAAAGTATCGTGATTGTTGGAGTTATTACATGACATTATTTTAAATGTTAGTTTTTTTGACATTTTAATGGTGAATGAAATGTGAACTAATTGGTTACTGTATGTGAAGTTTTAAGTACTGTGATGTGTCAATTGTCTCATCAAAATAAACATCTCACCTTGTTGTAAATCTCCAGGTTTTGTACCACAAGGACAGACTTAACCGTGTTGGGATTCCGTAGAGGCATGTCAGGTTTCAAATTCTGTATTACCTGCCCCTTCTCTGTACTCTCCCTGTCAACCAAAGGTTAAATATCACACAGGTAAGACGTTCCTCTCATTAAATAAAAAATATCTGCTTCTCCTGTAACTTTCATACTGAATGGGGGTGTATAATTCTTTCCCCCTTACTTTAAGAGGCTGATATATTTCCCCCCATTTAGCCTCATTCTCTTTCTGCCATAGTGGGGGAACACTTTACATTAATACAACACTGAGCTGAGTCCCCTTGGCACAGGAATTCTTTATGCCCATAAAGGTTATAATCCCTTTACCCATTCTTAGAGAGTAGGCTTTTACTCAATCCGGTATTTCCTCTATAGGGCCCCACCACTCTTAACCAAGGGGAACCACGTTCTCATTTATACAACATCAAGCTTTCTTTGCAAGGGATGATCCATATCAATTTCTCTTACCCTGGACAGATTTCCTTGTCTCACCCTAGGGTTGAGACAAGCTACACGTGCTCTTTGCACGTTCTCCACAATAAACCCGACGTCACTGATGTGACCCAGAAGAAGAACTACTTTTATGAGGTCATACACATACACAAGTTTGTCTGCTAATCTTGTCATGTTTACATTTGACATCAAAGAAAATGGGATTGATTTTAAAATGTTTAAAATATGATGCATGAACCGTGCGACGCATACATATAATATTAATACGCATTCCACGTGTTCCTGTTTACAAACAATATGCTTCGTCTTACACTTGGACAGGAACAATAGGGTAAGAGAAAAATAATCATTCACCCCCTCGAGGGATGAGATAGGGGGATCTCAACCCTCGGCGGGAAAAATTCTTAAGTTGCCAAACACTCGGCAAAGCCTCATGTTTGGCAAATTATGAATCTTCCCCCCTCGGGTTGAGATCCCCCTATCTCAACCCCAAGGGGATGAAAGATTTTATTAGTCTGTTTGGCAGTTCTTGACTGGCAGTCTTTTAAAGGAAAAGTTGAAAGAGGACAGATGATGAATTATGTGCCAAGGCAAAAGATCACATGACCTTTAGGCAGGTGAGCTAAGTATGTTATGTAGTGTTACAACAACTGTAAAATACATTGTATAATAAAATGTTGATATATTTAGAATTTAGACATAAACCTGTTCTATTGTGTCAAATAAAATATTGCAGACAAAGAGGAAAATGTTCTAACCTAAATATAAGTTCTGTGAATCGGTCAGCAGACCAAACTATACTTTGCCCCTTTCTGGTATCTGTAGCCATGACAACTGTACCAACAGCATGTCGGGCAGTTCGTCGACGATATTCTAAATATGGCACACATTGGTCATCCAAGTCTCCTACAAGAACAACAAAATGTTAACAACTGGTCTTTAAAGGTAGCATCTGTTAAAATTTGAAACTTTCGAAATGTTTTGCCACCTAAAGCATAATTATCTTATACAGTTCTTAAGGAAATATAAGTTTAAAATTCTTTGCTTTACAAGCATGCAGAATAGATACAAGGTTTGTACAGTAATTATCAAATCTTCTTTTTAATAAATTGAAATTTCAAGCACTTACTTAAGGCTTAAAGAAATTGTTTAAAAACAAGAGGCCCAATGGGCCTGAATCGCTCACCTGGTATTAATCTCACACTTGTAATCTTAAAAGTGGACTAAAATGCAGCTACAGGAAGAATATCAGTGTTTCATTCATAAGAACCTATTAAAAGATTTAAACATATGACGCCTGTGACCTTGAATGTCGAACAAGGACATTAGGTTTGAACAGAGTTTAAAGTCTTCCAACCCAGCATGCTTTTGGCAAAATATCATAACCCTGGACCTATTGGTTATACAGAACAAGTCATTTAAAGATTTAAACATATATTGACCACTATGACCTTGAATATGGGCGAAGGTCATTCATTTTGACAAAATTGGTAGCCCTTCATCCCAGCCTGTTAATGACCAAATATCATCGGCCCCTGTGACCTTGAATATATGTAAAGGTCATTCATTTGAATAAACTTGGTTGCCCTTTATCCCACCATGCTACTGGCCAAATATCATCATCCTAAGACTTTCGGTTATTGAGAAGAAGTTGTTTAAAGGTTTTAAACATATTTGACCCCTGTGACCTTGAAAATAAGTAAAGGTCATTCATTTGAACAAACTTGGTAGCCCTTCATCCTGGCATGTTACTGGCCAAATATCATTATCCTAGGCTTCTTAGTTATTCAGAAGAAGTTGTTTAAAGATTTGTTAAGACAATTGACCCCTGTGACCTTGAAAATGGACGAAGGTCATTCATTTGAACAAACTTGGTAGCCCTTAATCACAGCATGCTACTGGCCAAATATCGTAACCCTATACCTCTTAGTTATTCAAAAGAAGTTGTTTAAAGGTTTTTAACATATTTGACCCCTGTGACCTTGAATATAAGTCAAGGTCATTCTTTTGAACAAAATAGGTAGCCCTTTATTCCAGCATGCTAATGAGGAAATACCTTAACCCTAGGCCTCTTAGTTATTCAGAAGAAGTTGTTTAAAGGTAGCCCTTCATCCCAGAATGTTACTAGCCAAAAATCATCACTCTGGGCATTTTGGTTATTCAGAAGAAGTTGTTTAAAGCTTTTAACATATTTGACCCCTGTGACCTTGAAAATAGGTGAAGGTCATTTATTTGAACAAACTTGGTAGCCCTTCATCCTAGTTAGCTTCTTGCCAAATATCATCACCCTAGGCCTTTTGGTTATTAAGAAGAAGTTGTTTAAAGTAAAATATTGACACCGGATGCCAGACGGACGGACGCTGCACCATGGCATAAGCTCACTTGACCCTTTGGGCCAGGTGAGCTAAAAATTGATATGATAGTGATATATTAAAGAGACATCACGGTGAAGTATATATTTTTTGTGTCTTTTTTTTCAAATACTACATAAACATATCAAGTGAGTCTCCTTATGGAAAATAACAATCAGATTTCCCTGCTACAACACATGCGCATAGCAATTAAACAAAATGACTAGCCGTGCGAGGTGTTGATGAGTGAATTCGGTTACTGCGTCAGCTATGAAGCGAAAAGTTGTCAAATGGTCAAAAGATAGCGAAAGGATTACGTTACGGAATCAGTATTGCAGGTGGGAAGTATTCAAAGAAGAAAATAACTGCCCTAGCAGTTAGTACGGTGCATGTATTCTTCCGGATAGCCGGTTAAAGTTGAAATGGAATCCACAGAAATGCTGTTTATGTTGTGAATAAATATCTAAAACTATTAACCTCGCTAGTATCTTTGTCCGAGTTTGAACACAGATAAACTTATTTTGTTATGTTAAAAGGCATGTATCAGAGAGAGTTTACTTTGCGTTTCTATATACAGAAGTTTATGAGAAAGGAAGGGATAAGTGGCTGGTAAGTTTGATTTTGCTATGAGGCCCTCCAAGGGATAACTGCTGTGATTCTGTCGGTACTCGGGGTCAAATGAGATTTGTGCGCTATTAGATTTACATAATTTATAATATTCCCGGGTTCAGTAAAATGGTATGCTTTAATTATATTGCTGATGTAAACATTTTTTTTTATTTACATGCAAGATTTAAATATGTCAAAATGACGGTTAAGGATAAATAACTGAGGAAGGAGAACCTACTTATAGTAAATAGGATCGCATAACAAGAATGTTGTTAAATCGTAATGTTTCAATAGTTCATATTTTCACATGATGTTAACTTAGAATGTATGATCATGCAACAACTTTTTTTCTATAAATAATTAAACTGTCAACTCAACATGTAATATTCAAAGTATCATTTGCCATGATAAACCATAATAAATTTTGTCCCCTCCCCCCCCCCCCCCCCCC